CATATTATTGTTCTAAGCAAATTGTGCTGTAAGTGGCAAGATGATTGTGTGGGCAGGGCTGATCAGGGGCAAATATATATAGTTAGCAACAACTATTACTCCTTACTTGCAACTGTGCATAATAAAATTAGCTGCAAATTAATTATTGTGTACTTCGAGTATCATTCACCATTTCTATCTGTTTCCCCTTTAACAGTCAGGTTCTTTTCTTTAGCATTTACGGGGACGTGGGGGGGGGACATTTTCTTCCCATCATCTTCATTGACATTTTCCATTATCTTGCCTGCTCTTACAAACTTTGTTATTGCATGGGGTTTTTTTAATGGACTTTCCATATTCTTTTTCTAGTTCTCCCTTTGCAAGGAGAATTCCCTCCTTTTTAATATAAGAAAGACCCCATATTAAAAAGAAATGCCCCCAACACCTCTGGAAGAGAAAAGGCTTCCTTGAAGTAAAATCACTCAAATGGCCGGCCCCTTGAATGGATAGTTTCCATTCACCAAGATAAACTATTCCATTCATAAACAACACTTTCATCCCCAGAAGGCTGGAATTGATCAGATTAAAAAGCAGAGACAAAAGACATCTAAAATCTACATTTCCCACCCAATTCCAAGGACAGGGCATGACCTCCCAGCCACAATGAGTCAGGCAACAATAATTAGAATACTAAAAGGGCACCTTCAAACACAGATTAAAGTACATTTCACAATGAACCTAGACATCTAACTCACAAAGCCCTAGAACCACATAAAAACCTGTCCGCTTGCCAGACTGTTTTGTTAGCTGCCCCAGAAACATGCTGTTATCATTTGGTTTCCAACTACCAAATAAACAGATTTGGTATTTCCCCCCCAAAAGTGCTGCTTGACTCCAGTTCATTTCTACAGCATCCTTCTCCCTGCTTGGAACAGGGCCAGATTGTACTTCCAACAGCATCTTCAGATGTTCTTTCCCTGCAAGGCAATATCAGCAACTACATGTCTAGGCAGCTTTAATCTATCCACACCATAAATACCATTAGCACTATAAAAGATCCTTAGCTCTTCCTGATTAGGATATTTAGTGCCACCTAATATGAAAAGCCCATCAACTAGCATTGAAAAGATGATTTTGCAATTGTCACTAAAGTGATCCTTTGCTTTAAGCACTTTCTTATATCATTCCTGCCCAATATAGATGTCTGTTTGTTTTATCTGGGGAGCAGAGATAACCTTCACATGTTGGTGGCCTTTCTGGGATTATATACTTTTGGCATACACTCTTGGTGCTCTTCATTTAAACCTCCAGAAATTTCATTTCTCCTGCTACAGCTTTAATTATTTATGCTTTGTTCTTTTCGATCTACTCATTGGATCTATTGCTTGAGTATGCACGTGCAAGAAATAAGGACAAACAATATTTTCTATGTCCTGCTATACATGAAGACCAAACAAATCATGACCTTATTTCTCATCCTAAAGTCTTGGCAAGTGTAAAGGTAACCTTGTCTATGAAAAGCCGAGTTAAAGATTAGAATTTAATTCATTCTAGAATATGATTTCATGGAATAAGGGGTGGCAACTCATACTGCATTCCTAATCACATCACTGAAATTCAACTGCAAAACATCCAAAATTTAGCATTTTCCCCACATTTTTTTTAAAATAAGTAAAACAGCTTCAGCTGGATAACCTCAGACTGATATTGTCTTCCTGGAAAGTAAGCCTCATTGATTTTCTGACATTTCCTGTTGGACATGAAAACATTAACACTGAAATATTGGAAATGGACAGACTTATATTGATCTCCAGTAGATGTTGTTTGTCTTGAATTAAAACAGGTCATTGTGATCTCAGATCAATAGGATTTCCCTTGAGAGTATCTCCCATCACGGCTTGTCTCTCTCATGAAGAACATGATAGCAAAACTTCTTTAAAAAGGTTTCATACAACCCATACAACTCCATACAACTCCAGGAGGACCTGGAGGAACATTGTCCATGGGGTCGCGATGGGTCGGACACGACTTCGCAATTAACAACAACAACAACAACAACCCATATATTATTATGAGGAAAAAAAAGTGATTTGGGAATGAAACAAAGGTTAGTTGAGAAAAACAATTTTATCAGGTTGCAGAAGACACCGTTCAAGCAAATATACTGATTTAGATCCTCCACACTTGGAAAAGCCATAGTGCATAATGCCAAGCAAGAGAGGTGTAAACAAGAAAAATATCTCCTTTCTTGCCATCATTATCACAGTGTAAGTCATGAACAATCATTTTCCCCTCCCAGAGACCTCTTGCAGTAGTAAGTGGGTGTTCACAGATCAGATGGGAATCTAAGTAGAGGCCAGTTTATTTATATGTCGTACATGCATACCATCCTATAATACAGGTGCAAATAAGTCTCCCTTCCTACCTTATTCCTAACAGTGTTAGATTAAATCTAACAAATGGATCAACCTCAGTAACTTTCTGAATACACAGAAAAGGTTTTTACATGTGCTTAATGTTTGATAATAAAACATAATAAAAAATAATCAACTACAGGGGAGTGGAAAGAGAATCTTATGGTAGTTATTTTATTTTTTATTTTTATTTTTTTAATTAATGTCGACTCCTGGTGACTACCCAGACTAGTTGTCATATTTTCCTTGGGAAGATTGCCTGCCATTCTGTACTTACTAGGGTTGAGAATGAATGGCTGGCTCAAAGTTACCAAGCTGGTTTTGTATTTAAGACAGAACAAAAATTTGGTCTCCCGATTTCTGGTCTGGTGCCTTTAACCATTAAACTAAGCTGCCTCTCAGAGCAACTCTTCATTCTAGAAATCAAGATGATCAGCCAGGGTTCTCAAAAGTCAGCAATAAATCACCTAGTTGCATCATTCTGAAAGGCATGTCAACCAAATTAGCTCCCAATCCTTCCAGGGTTCAGATGTATAATTGTCTTAAATGCTCTCATTTTTCTACAACAAATACTATTCAGTATTTTATTTATTATTACATTTACAAATAGCATGTTGTTATTTATCCAATAATTCAAGACAGTAAACTTATTGAATACTCCAGCCTTCTATTTTCCCCACACAGCCTTGTGAGGCAAGTTGGACTGAAAAAGTGACTGGCTCAAAGTTATCCAGCTTTCATGCCTAAGGGAGGCCTAGAGGTCTCTTGGTTTCTAGACCAACACCTCAATGTTGGTTGCATGCCCAGACATTCTTTATCTGAAAGTCCTTGAAACTTTGCTGGAGGAAAGACTTTCTTTTGTTTATATGGCTTTACAAGATAGACTATATCTATAAACAAATAGTATTCGGAGCCATCTATTTCCCTGGATTATAAACATTATCTGCTTTGGAACTATAACAGGCTGTTTTAGAAGAATTGAAAATTAAGAAATTTTACATAACAGAATTTGGTGGATTATAATTTTGACATTTTTGCTTTTTTCCTTTCCTTTTTCCCTTTTCATTTTGGGAGCATTTTTCCCTCCTTTTTTATTGCTTCCTTCTTTTTGCCCCGTTGCTATTTTTTATTTTTCCTTTTTATTTTTAACTATTTTTATGGATTTCTTCTCCTAGCAATAGGAACCTATTGGATTATAAAAGCTGGCCATTTGGCTACCTGGCGGATTACAATATAACAAATAAAGACAAAGATGAGTACTTCAAATCTATCTAAACTTGGAGGGGAAAGGATCTTCCGCCCCTGCAAGTCCAGTATATCAGAAATCAATACAGCAATGCTGCAGCAAGAAAAAATGGATGTTCACCAAAAAGATACTCAAGCAATTATGCAAGCAATTGCAGCTCAAGAAGGCAACCTCAACAAAAAAAAAGTCATGAAGAGTTGAAAAATGATCTTGATAAAATGAATAAAAAAATTACCAACGGGACAACGGGATTTTATAAAGGACAGAATTCGATCAAATATTGTTAAAAACAGATGAAAACTTGATTATGAAACTCTATAGATTTCTGCTAAACTTGAAGATGGAAGAACAAGTAAAAGAAACAATGATAACATGGGCAAAAAACTTTGGATATTCTATAGATTTGGAAGACTGGCAAAAATTATGGGATAGAAATATTGACTAAAGCAGTCTCATATAAAGAAAATCTGTATAAAATGTTTTATAGATGGCATATGAGACCAGTAAAATTAGCAAAAAAAAATTAAAAATACTTCGAATAATTGCTGGAAATGAAACAAAGGCCAGGTACTTACTATCATATCTGGTGGATATGCCCTAAAGCAAAAAGGTTTTGAGTTAAAATACATACATTGCTGGAAAAGATGATCAAAAGACAGATAGAATTTAAACCAGAACTGTTTTTGTTAGGAATATTAGAACCTAACTATGAGAAGGAGAATGAATATTTAATATTGCATGTACTGACAGCAGCGAGAATAGTATTTGCCCAATACTGGAAAAATAAAAACTTACCAACTGAAGAGGTTTTAATTAAGAAAATTTTAGAATGTACAGAAATGGATAGATTTGTTTTAGAGATTAAAGAGAAAGAAGATTCAGTTTACTTTAAAACATGGGATAATTTTTACCAATGGTTAGGCAAACAAACTAGTGAGAAATGAATGTGATGTTATTTTGAATACATATTAGTAAGATGATAGGCATTGACCAACTGATACTGTTTATGATTATCATTTATCATATTTACTACAGCTATTTACCACTATATCAATTATTGTTAATTGAACATATGTTCCCGGACAATAGTCTGTTTGCTAAAGATTGAAAATATTATTGGGGGATAACCCCAATGTTGATCCCAACCCTGTCCTAATCCCAATCCTGATCCTAACCCTACCCTAAACCTTAATCCCCATCAATCCTATCTTATCCCCAACTCTATAAAACTCAATAAAATCTTTTTTTAAAAAAAATACTAATAAAATTCTTAACTTCTTAAGCAATTCCTACAGATTTTTGCCCACACCCATTTACATAAAACAACCGTGACAATTAAAACATGTCAAACAAACTTATTCTCTGCTAAACATTTTATTTTATTTGACACAAAAATATAAGTCAAAAGATCCACATACAATGAACAAAAGTATTACATAAAGTATTAATTTTCTAAACAGCAATTAAGTTGGAGATGGAATATTTGTCTGCAAAACAATTTGCACATCCCTTAAATTATTGTTGCTTGAATATATTCTCCTAAATTTTTATCCTTCAATATAACTACCTTTAAGAGGTTAACTTCTTTCTCTATAGACATGGGGAGGGGAAGGTAGTTGCAAATAGAAATGGTTGGTAATAAGCCAGAAGCAGGTTTAGAAAAAAGGTTTATCGAGAAAAGAAGGAAAGAGAAGACTATGAGGAAAAGGGTAGGAGGTAGCTAAGGAGAAGGTGCTGGGAAGATTGAAGGACAGGTCAGCCAGTGGCATATGCAGCACTGGGACATCAGTCACAGCTGAAGGAGTAAAAGGGAAGAGTGCTGGGAAAATAGGAAGTGAGCAGGCAAATACCCACCCTGTGTGGAGAAGCAGGAGGGCAAAAAGCAACACATTCCAACCTAGCTGCATTCGTTCTTAAAATCATTCCAGCATGTCTTCATATTTGTTTTGGTCACAACTCAGAATCAGAACAATCCAGGTTTCTATTTTTGCCAAATCACAACTCATGTGAAGATGATTCAGCAGAATTCCCATAGAAAAATACAGAAAGAACAATCTTCAACCATTCTGCTCCCAGGTATTACAGGATTCAGAGAGCAATACATTCAACATCTTGCAAATTATTGAAACAAATTGCTTCAGAATTGTTTCAAATGTGTTGCATACAAACATTTCAGAAGATTGAGAGAGAAGGCCAAAGGTTCAGGAATCAGTTTGTGCCCATGATTTCAGAAAAGAACAATATAAAGTAATTATACACAATTACAGCTTGCACAATAGCAAACCAAGCTGCTTCCAGCATAGAATCTGACCACCCTGGACAATTACAATTTTACCCTGCCTCGCCCTCCACCACCAAAAAAAAGAGCTCTAGTTAGTAGAACTAAAAGAAAGATCTCACAGTGATATTTCTGGGCAAGACAACCCAGGGCGTACACCAGGGATCTTCAAACCTGGCCCTTTTATGACTTGTGGACTTCAACTCCCAGAATTCCTCAGCCAGTGTATCTGGCTGAGGAATTCTGGGAGTTGAAGTCCACCAGTCATAAAAGGGCTAAGTTTGCCGTGAAGAACCCTGGTGTACACCCACCTAAGGGGGGGGGAGAAATCACAGCTTCTGCTCATTCAGAAAATGAGTTAAATCAGCTGACATTGGTTCAATGCTGTTGATGGAGTTTTCCATCACATAAAAAGCCAGATAATCAGCTAGAGGGCACTGTAATAGCTATAAGAGCACCCATCATTCTTTCCTCTACTGTACTCTAACTCCGTTATGTGCCATTTGAGGTAGCTATCTCACTGTGTGCAATCTTAATGACAGTTCTTTTTATGGCTGCATCAATTCATTTTCAATATTCTAAAGAGAGAATTCTCTGAATTTGATAGTTAGTCACTTGTTGGCTTAGACAAGGATGGTCTCTGAATGCACTTAGGCAGCACTTTCAAGAGGCATCTCTCCCTGAAAAAAAAGTATCCATAGGCAAATGTCTTCATATGGACCATTTTAAGGCTAGCTTTATAGGATGAGACATGCATCATAGATTCGGGAGACAGCAGAAGTAAAAGTGGGCTCAGGCATCTGCTTTTCTTGCAAAGACATATAATGGTTCCCCTGTTTAGAAAATGAGGATGTGACATTATCCTGACTCGAAGGATCATGATTTAAAGTAGTTCTGGAAGCAACATTTGGAGTATGATATGCAGTGGACTTTGAAGGGGAAGGTGTTTTGCTTCTTGATCTTGTCCCTGAAGAGCCTGCAGCACCAGTTGCACTTTGTTGTTTCTGATATGAAAAAGCACAAGCTTCAGGTGACAACACACTAGACCTACTGGAGGGCTTGGCAGAAGCATAGATATGGTGGCAAGATAAGCTGGTGGAAGAATCTAGAGAAGAAATGGAACTCACTGTTTTTGTACTTGAGGCAATTATAGTCCCACCTGCCTGTGCATTCTGTCTCTGATGTGTGAAAGCATAAGTCTCAGAAGATAGGGCACTGGAACTAGTGGTCATCCTGCTGGAAGCATATGCAAACTGGTAGTGTGAACTGGTGGTGGATTCTGATGACAAAGAAGTAGGGCTTGTTGTTTTTTTGTTTGAGATAACAGTAGCAGCTGCGCTGGCATACTGTCTCTGCTGAGTGGAAGTAGGAGTCTCAGGAAACAAAGGACTGGAATTACTGGTGATATTAGCAGAAGCACTGGCAATAGAGTCTATTGGAGAAGAAGCTGGACTTACTGCTTCTGTCCCTGAGGAGGACACAGATGACAAAGCCATGGAATTATTGGCAATCACAGATGAAGTGTGCAAAGGCCGAAGAGGTCCACTGACTGAACAGGTACTGAATGATTCTGAAGTTGAGCTGGTTTCAAGAGGATTCACGTAAGTGGGTTCTCTCTGATACATGGCTACAGGAGATACTCTGTCCAAAGAGGTTTTTAGGAGGCCTTTATCTGCTAAAGAAACAGAACTGGGTTGTAGACCATCTAGTCTTGCATGGGTAGGCTGTTGTAATTGGTGGTCTGGTTGGGATCTGGGTGGAAAGAAGCTTGCAGAATTTCTAAACAATGGAGAAACAGAATTTCTCTTTGCAGAAGAGTCAGGACTTGAGAAGTGCTGCAAAGTTCTGGACTGTTTCTGCACTTCAGAAAAGGAATCAAATTCTGCAATAGCATGATTACTATTCCTTTGTTCGGTACTCAAGATGGGAAATGGTGGTTGCACAAGAAGGCTAGGCCGAATACCAACAGAGCTCTGTGATGTACTCCTTGGAGAGTAAATTTCAGGTTTTACAGAAACTGGGGGAACTGGTGTCAAGTCAACTGATGGGAGAGTGTCAGAAATCTTTGAGTTAGTGGGAGATGCAAATCTGGATTTAAGAATACCTGGCGGCAAATTATCACCACATACTGTGCCTTGAGAACATGTAGGTAAAGCTGCACAGAAATGTGGGATGAAGGAGATCTCTCTTAGCTTGGGACTGGGACCATTCAAAGGAGATGTGTTTGTTTGCACGATTTTAATAAAACCTGGGACGCTTTGGGGATGAAATTCAGTGAATGGTTTATTCCCATTATTTTCTGGTGCTCTTATGGATTCATAATATTGCAAGAAGGAATTATGGGGTTTAGGTACAGGCATAATGGCAACCTTGGGAACAGCAGGCTCCAGGCAAGATTCAAAGATTTTTACAGCAGGTTTAGTCAGAGTTACAGGATGGACCAATGCATGGCTAGGGACCACTGCAACATTCTCCACTTTGGAAGAGGCAGGTTGACCTGGGGAGAAACAAAACATAAATTTATCTGAAAGGTTCGTAGATAAAAGTAGTGGGTACCATTGAAGGCCAGAGAGCAGAGCACCTTACAGGATCTTGGACAATAATTTCAGGGCTCATAATCACTTGGGAAAGAGGCTATAAAAGAAAGCTTAACTTGTGATAAAACTGTTCCAAGGGAATTTTGCCAGATCTCTGAGCATTTAATAAGTATGCTCACATATCAACTTTGCATTTCTTTTGTTGGCTCTTTATTGGCCTTCATCTTATCTATAACAAAACCTAACATATTAAGATAATAAAACCCAACATATTAAGATAAGATTGCATCACTTGTATAGATGTGTGGGCTGGGTGGAGGAAACCTTTAGCGACTTTTTTTTAAGTCATATGTCTATTTTGGGATTTGAAAAATAGTTTTACATGTTTCCATTGCACAATGTCAGGAAATTGCTAGTTATAGGAGTTCTGAGGGCTCAATTACCATGTACTGATTTTGGCTTAAAAAACAATTAAATAACCATTTGAATGAGAGGGAGAAAGTTCTACACAATCTTACATTTTCCTTACATTTTCCCTAAATCCAAGCATCAAAATATAGAACATGTCTGTGTTCTTGTATTCCACCCCCTAACCCACCAATCCCTATTCTCCCAAATTCTTGTCCCTAGCTCTCTTTTTTTATACAAGATTAGGGATACTTCTTTCCCTGAAATGATGGTGGTACCGGTTTCAGTCTAAAATTACCCCACAGAACAACCTTATTTAATTCTTCTTTATCCTACATGCTTAAGATCCTTGTGCCTGATGAATATGAAGTATTCATGCTTATGAAGCATTTTCATATGTCTGCAGTGTGAATAAAAGTTCTAATTTTGTTTTAATTTGGTCATGTGGTTTGTGGAAAGTGTGGGAAGAGAATCTGGGGCAGTCAAGTTATTTTCCTGTTTCAAAAACACAATGCAGAAGAAATGTCACATTAGGAAATGAAGGAAATTCCACAATAGCACATACCTGGCTTTGCAGGTGATACATCAGGGGACACGGGCAACAGTAATGCCTGAACTCCATGACCCCTCATATAAACAGTGTCCGGCATCTCGAGAAGACGTTGCTTGGTAGAAGCAGCATTGCCCACTGGGAAATGTTGTTTAAAAGTAGCACTATAGGCAATACGGAACTGGAACAGAGACATGCCCTCTGGATACATGGCTAGAATCTGGGCCACTTGTTGCTTCAATTTATCCTGAACAGCTGAGGTTTGGAATGTCATCACATTTGAATGGCTGGGAAGGTCTTCAGTGTGTGAGTTTGCACTGAGCTGGTATGGCTGCTGTGACAAAACAATAGAAGGAAAACGAGAGGAACTCTTGACTTTGACTGATAAAGCATTGTGGGGCTCCTGGAATGAAGGGAAGTTTGATGTCATGGTAGCTGGACCAGGCTGCTTTGTGTGAGACAACTTATTTATTTCAGGAGGAACTAGAGCAATTGAAGCAGGTACATTTTGATGCTGAGAGTCACTTGCAGAGAGATCACTGATGGTGGAAGCAGGTTTAGAGATGTCTTTTAAGTCTAGGAAAAAAATAGTGTACAGTTATTGCAGAGACAACCAAAAGAGGACATGTGTTAGTACTTCATCTGTTATTTTAGTCTTTAAGAGGGAGAACAAGAGACAAAGAGCTACTCTTCCAAAAAGGCTATAGCAAGATACAATAGTTAGCAGCAAACTGAAATCAAAACAACCCAAACAGGTTCTTCAGAAACACTGGGTATCTCCTTCTTAAGGAGTGTTACAGTACAAGTGGTCCTTCGATGTTACAATACAGGCGGTCCTCAAGTTATGACAATAATGGAGTCATTACCATGACTTCAATGCTGCAAGTCATGATGTTTGTTAAGCTGCAGACCTTGTGCTTGCTCACACACTAGGTTCCTAGAGACTTTTGGCCTGCTTTCCACTCAGCCACAGAGGGGAGAGTCAGATGGCTGCAGAAGCTATTGGTGCATGTAAACCTGCTGCAGCTTGTAGGCCTTGGGCATGCTTCCCATCCAGCCAATAGCCACATGAGCCTATTCTGCCGCATAAACTTGGAATTCTACACAAACTTTTTTTTAAATAAACCATACTCATTATAAGAAGGAATATGCACACGACTGAATTGAGAGTAACCATATGCAGTGACAATTACAGCAGATGCAGAAAAAGATGAAGGATCTAGTTGATTGTCAAGAAGGCTTCTCATAATGATATTAAGGACCCATTTTCACAGAAATGTATCACTTCATCTAACATTTCCTGATCCTCTAAGCCTGGTTCCCATTGTTCCCAAAATTTCAGAATCAAATAGAAATTTACCAGGCTTTTTTTCAGATTTGAATTGGTTTGAATTTTTTGATGTGCAGGTAGACTGATCTGAGTCAGAAGAGGAAAAAGGGCTGGACTGGGATGAAGAGCAACTGAAGGAAGCTAGAATAGTAGAAATGTAGGGAGGGGGAAAGGTGACAACATTCAGAAGTCAAGAGTGGCAAATGTGGCAAAAAAAACCTCCAACTGCAGGTTCTCAACTATACTGGAAAACCAATAGATTATGCATCATAATAGGAACATTGTCACTGAATGTGGATTTACAAGGTTTTTTCAGGGATATTTAGCTAGACCTCATGCTCACCATGATATGGAAGATTTCTGAAGTGATTTGCCTTTGCCTTCAGCCTAGAGCTGAGAGTGAATGACTGACCAAAATCATCCAGCTGGTTTTCTACATGAGAGTCAGAACTTGGGTTTACCCATTCTTAGCCTAGCACCTTTATCCACCACACTGAATTAGTTCATATTCCTCCACACATCATTCTAATATTATATTCCCTATAATAAATTACAAGATTTCAAGTAGATTTGATTTTGTCTTGATTATCTGAATGCTATGCCTCAGAAATATTATTAGGTCAAGAGCTTCTTCAGTAAAGGAACGGTATCTTCAAAACATCTTGGCTCCCTTGCTTTTATATTTCAGAAACTAATAGTAATGATGTTGTATGCTTTATGTATGCCTCCTCTTCTAACACTGGCTGGATTTGCTTAATATATCTCTTGACACTACTGTCTTTTCTACTCTGACATCATACTGAGTCCAGGTGAACTTAAAGTGCTTATATTAGCTCTCTGAAGTTGTACTTCCCAACTGAGCTCAATAAAGACTTTAGGTGTAAATTATGATTTTTATTGTTTCTAATTTGTTGACTTTACTCCAACACAAAAAGGAGAAAAAATCTTCAATATGCTCATGACACCCAACTATGTATCTCAGCCCATGGCAAGTTAAGTCAATCTCCGTTTTGCAGTGCCTGGATGCTGTTAATGGCTGGATGGGGAGCAATGGGGTGAAACTGAATTTGGCACGACAGAATAGCTTCAGGTTTGGGGATCTTTTGTCCAAGGAGAGTTGCCATCTCTGATCTTGGACAGGGTTCCACTGCCAGAGACAGACCTGGTGAGTAATCTAGAGATTCTCCTGGACCCCTACTGCTCAAGGACTAGTAGCAGTCATGGCCAGGACCACTTTTATGCAACTGAAGGCCTTTCCTAGACTAACAATCCCTGCTCAGTTACCCATGCCCAAGCCACCTCTCATCTTGACTATTGCAATGCGTTCTAGATGGGCTGCCCTTGAAAAGTGTCCAGGATCAGCTTCAATTGGTTCAAAATGTGGTAGCCTAAATGGTTTTATGCATGCCTATATTTGCACATATGTCCTACAGAAACTGCATTAGCTGCTGATTTGCTTCTGGGCCCAATTCAAGGTGCTGATTGTCACTTTCAAGACTCTAGATGACTTGGGACCAGGTTATCTAAAGGACTATCTTTTCCCAGTCATATCTACCTGACCCACCACAGCAGGGAAGCAGGGAATGTTGTGGGTCCCCTATCTTCAATATAATGGGACCAAAAAGAAGGGCCTTCTCTGTAGCAGCTCCCTCCTTATAGAACATCATCCCTGCAGAAATAAGATTGCCCTCACCTCAACAGTCTTTTGCAAGGATCTGAAGAAATGATTCTGTCAACACACCAGGGGACTTCCGAGTGATACAGAGCTTATCAAGTGACTAGTCTGAATGTTGTTGCAAGGGTGATATGGCTTATTGGTTAGTGTGTGTGTGTGTGTGTGTGTGTGTGTGTGTGTGTGAGTGTGTGTATGTATGTATACACACACACACACACATATATATATATAAATGTGTGTGTGTGTGTGTGTGTGTGTGTGTGTGTGTGTGTATCAATTATTATTACCTACTAAGATTTTGCACTTGGCACCTCATGAAATATATATATTCTATTTTTCCATTGTTTGCTCTTTCTACTTTTTGCCCTGTAAAAGTAAGGTAAAACTGTGCAAAAAGTCAGACTGATCTCTCACCACTCCAATGTACATAAGGAAAAGCTGTTTTTCTTGCTGAACAAATACAAAGATTACACAATGACAATATACCCTGCTTTGTTAATGAGTAAAAAACCACTGCTGCATTTTGACCAGAGACCTTATTAATAACAGTCAAAAAACATTCCTGTTACAAACCTGAAGAAATGCTATAAATAGTGTATGTCCACTCAAAATATCAAACTATTAAACTTTATAACTGATACAACATAAATCAATGAGTTATGCAGTAAATACATTATTTTTTTATTAAAAAAGTTTTTATTTTTCATTTATTCATACAAACTACAATTAAATTCCTAACCATTGGTAACGCCTGCCCATTCCCCCCAGGCTGCATCCACCCTCTCTAATCCTTCCCTACTTCCCTCCTCTTTCTCTCCTCCTTTAAATACATTATTGTATTTAAAGTCCTAGCAGGTGATAATGGAGACTATACTCCAACAATATCTCAAAAAAATGCAAGTGTTTTATCACTTGAAACCCTCTACAGTGCTGAGAAAAACTCACAGGTGGTCAAGGAAAGATAGTCAAAAATTAAAATACTGTATTATAAAAGATGCTATATAGTTTGCAGATACCAGTGGTTATGGTTCTTTGAGCACTTGATTCCTGGTTGACTATGTGGACAAGTCCATGCTGTCACTTGGCAACATTTCTAAAAGGGCTTGCCAACACTATGGTTCTAGGATTGAGAGAAACTCCCACCCAAACACACACAGCTGGCTTTCATCCCTCAGGAAGGTGAAGAACCCCAGTCCTAGTTTGTGCCTTTAATTGCTACACTAAATGACTTTCTTCTAGTAGAATTAGAAAAAGTAACATTATCCTGCAGTTTCCAGAAAACCCTGCAGACTTCAGGCAGTAATATGATTTTGTAAATGGCCTTAAAAAATTGGTGGATTTGGCTATCAGTTACAATTTCCAAAGAGCTTAATTAGGGGTAAGTATGCAGAGTACTATCTCTCTTTATTTGGCTATATTAGGAGGAAAAGCTTATACACTGTAAAGCACCAATGCAACACTGTCTTTCCTCATGAAAGTAATCATTTCAAAACATTTCTACCCCTTTTTTCATTCATACCCAAACATTCTTAGGAAATTTAAAAAAATGGGCACAGCTGCAGCTCAGTACTTTGTGAGCTTGCAGAAGCAACAAAACCAATAAATTAGACTGAGTATAATCAAAACCAGACTAACAGTTTGCCCCTCTTGGTGGATCACTTTTGAATGGACATGACTGCTATGACAGAATTTTGCCATGCTCATGGCATGTTCTCAAAATTCCAAGTTGGTTCAAAAAAAGATATCTTCTGCCTGGCTTAACATAGTTT